AAGCTAGAAGTCAAGTGATAGAGAATGGAGTGGAACTTGTTAAGTTCCTTATTAATTGTATTGATGTAATTCTTATTTGTTTGCTATGGTTATATTGATGCTTAATGGTCACACCCATTGTTTTAAATTTGTAAATGTTTTTGTGGGACCGGTTTTTTTTAAATGTGGCTTAACTCCCAAATGTTTTTAAAACCATAGCATATAAAAATTTTTAAAAAAATTGGGGTGTTACATAAGCTTTTTAGAACCCAATTCCCATGATGTGACATTAGGTAGCCACGTCGTGGCGAATGGGGTCAGATTGTCTATTTTGTCCTTTAGGGGCCACAACATGGCCAAGGATGGCCACGACGTGGTGAGTCAACATTAACCGTTGACTTTGATTTTTGAATTGCGTTGACTTTTGGTCAACCCTTAATATTGGAGAAGAATCTAAGGGTTTACTTTATATGGCTATATAGGTGGTTGGTAACATTTGTGTTCGCAGCAGTAGTAACAGTTGCAGTTGATCATCGTTCGATAGGTGAGTTCATTCACTATACTTGTGGGTCGAAGGCACCAACGCCGACCCACTGAATTATGTTTGTAGGATGATATTTATCTTTGTGACACTTACTATTATGCCCGTTTATGCTTGTTGTCTTTGTGACTCTTGCTGATGTAATCGTATGCTTAGCTGTAGGGGTGAAATAGACCCGATACCGATTGAACGAGACCGAATGGGTGAAGTAGACTCAGTACCGGTTGAAAGAGGCCAAATGAGGTGAAATAGACTCAATTATGTTTTGATTATTATGTATGTATGGTATGGGGTATTTTGGGGAAACTCACTAAGCTTTGTACTTACAGTTTTATGTTTATGGTTTCAGGTACTTCCAATTCAAAAGGGAATGGCCCAACATGATCGCACCATATCCACCAACATTCCGCATTTTATCATATGATTTGTACTCTGATAACTATTTTATACATTATCACCTTTTTATGGGTTTTGAAATGTATGAATGATGTTTCTATTGGCTTTTAAGATGAATTTTTTACTTAGTAATTTTTGGGACGTTAGAAAGACGCATCTGGTTCTCCTCTCAAAAGGCTCATCCTTCCTCCTTCCTACTTCTATACAACGACTTCAAGCAATTCTTCCTGTTGACCAAGTTCACCATCGTCACCTCAGTAGAGCCGCCGACCTCCGCCTAGTCAGCACTAGTAAGATCGGAAATCGATTTTCTGTAATTGACATTGAAATGAATTTTATGAAATTGGTGAAAACCGGATGATGCTTTTGGTTAAGATTGGATGTTTGCATCAGATTGAAGTGTTTCAAATTTGATTTTTCTCCGTCTCGTTTTCATGTTCTTCCTTGGACTATATCATGCCATATATCTCCCAAAATTACTTCAAAGGCCCTACAAAAAGGGCATTTTTTTTAGGGGGGGGGGGTATATCGCTGCTGGGTGGATTTTTTGTTGCATATGATGCCAAATTTTTTCTCAAAACATGCCAGAAAATTCAAATATGATTATAAATGATTAGGAATGGAGTGATCTAGTGGATTTTGTGTTGTATATGATACCAACATATCATATTAATATACACTTATTTATACACAGGGAGAACATTGATTTAAGGTCCATTTAATTTTATCAAAGTTGAAATAGATGGTGCACCTAATAATATTATAAATATTATGTTTTTTTCATTGAAAGTATAAATATATTGTGCATGTATAACATTTTCTGTTCTCAAACTTATAGATCTTATAAAGCACAAAACAAAACAGAAGGGTAAAATGATAATTTTAACATTCAACATGGTCAGTTAGATGTGTAATCAAACAATATGGTTTCAGTCGGAAGCAATTACAATCAGAACTCTTGACTCGGCAAGATCTTACTGAGTCAATAACTATCAAATATCAAACCTCTTATTTGACCTACATAAGTCCATGGGGTATGGTTATAATGTGATTAACATCTCTCTCTCATATTATTTTATATTAAAAAATTATAAATATTTTGGGGGTTTTCTAAGATAAATAGTTAGGTAACGGTGGTGTTGAAATGACAAATCTTTTTGTTTTATAAATACACGTGATAGTGTAATAGTTTTATAAGTTTCTGTTAGGAAATTTTGTATTTATAACTTTGATCAATCATAAACATCAACTATAATAAATAAATGTTCATTTTACCACATGTCAATCTTTAATGTGTTTTGACATTTTTCATTTTGTAATATTTTTGAAATAAATAATATCCACATGTCAATTTTAGGTTTTTCAAATTTTAAAATTAAAAAGACACATAATATTTATATATTTATATATGTAAAGTATTATATGTCATAAATATGATATTAAATTGCAATTAATACGTTTGTTTATTTCTCATTTCAAAATTTTATTTTAAAAAATACTTATTGTTTACACTTAAATATTTAATTTCTATTTCAATCAACCCGTATAATACATGGGTTTTACACCTAATAAACAATATAGAAACTAGACGATATTCTAGATTTTCAGACGAAAGCAAGTACAATCAAAACTCTTGACTCGGCAAGATCTTACTGAGTCAGCAACTATCAAACATCAAACAACCTCTTATTTGACCTACATAAGACCATAAGGTATGGTTATAATGTGATTAACATCTCTCTCTCTCTCATATTATTTTATATCAAAAAATTAAAAATATTTTGGGGGTAACATAGTCGTGAGTATTTTCTAAGATAAATAGTTAGGTAACGGTGGTGTTGATATGACAAATCTTTTTGTTTTATAGATATAAGTGATAGTCTAATAGTTTTATAAGTTTATGTTAGAAAGTTTTGTATTTATAACTTTGATCAATCATAAACATCAACTATAATAAATAAAGATCCATTTTGTCACATGTCAATCTCTAATGAGTTTTGATATTTGTTATTTTATAATATTTTTGAAATAAATAATATCCACATGTCAATTTTAGGTTTTTCAAATTTTAAAATTAAAAAGATACATAATATTTATATATTTATATATGTAAAGTATTATATGTCATAAATATGATATTAAATTGCAATTAATACATTTCTTTATTTCTTATTTCAAAAATTTATTTTAAAAAATACTTTTTGTTTACACTTAAATATTTAATTTCTTTTTCAATCAACCCGTATAATACACGAGTTTTACACCGAGTAAACAATATAGAAAATAGACGGTATTCAAGATTTTCTTTTATTATTGTGATATTTTATATCTTCTTGATCTCTAACTACGCATAAAACATTATATATATATAACTACGCATAACTCTACACACACACACACACACACACATATATATATATTATATATATATATATATATATATATATATATTTGTAGTTTTTTTTCGATAAAGAATAAACTCTAAAACTTGAAAAATAAAAAATTGGTTTCCTTGGAGAACCAATAATTATGGTTTTCTATTGAACCTATATACATATATATATATATATATATATATATATATATATATATATATGTGTGTGTGTGTGTGTGTGTGTGTGTAGAGTTAGGTTCATATATAAACACTAATTATTGTGTGAATGTATGACCACTTGTGGACCAATCAAAATATAGGGTTAATTTTGTAATTTTAATAATTATATTTAATGGTAAAATCGGTTTTAAATATGAAATTTATCAAAACACCTAAAATATAAAACCGCTAAATATGGAAGAAGTTAAGATACTTTTATTAACCTATCTTCATCTCATCTTCACGTTTTTTCTTCACAAAATAATTTCAAATGAACAGGAGACTTGAGCCCTTGTTCTTGGTGCAAATTGGGAGGTAACGTTTTCTCCATGCAATTCGCTTTTTTTTTTAGCTCATCATTTCGGTGATTTCCTTTGTTTTTCTTTGTAACTTCTTTACCTAATTATTTGTTTTTGTGACACTATCTGTAGTTTGAAGAAACTTGCCAGACGACGAAAAAGGGGAAAAGTAGTTGGATTTTTTCTCTCCAAAAATTGTAACAAAATACAAATCGGGGACTTGTTATCAGTAAATACCATTCTTTGCTTAAACTTTGTATGACTAATTTTGCTTATTCTATTTATCTTGATTTTATGCTCTACAAGACAAGAATGACATTTTTTTTACGTCTTTGCATTTTTAATTTTTTTTAAGGAATTATGAATTATTGAAGAATGCTCCAACTTTACAGCTGCAAAAATCTTAATAAAATAATGATACATATACTGCTTAGCTGCCTTTCAAGTTTGACTATTTTAACCCTATATCATATTAGAAAATCAAGTTAGCTTGTCAAACTTCAGAAAATTATGCAACATATAAAAAAATTATTGAAGAATATGATTTTTTTTTCTCACAGTTAGAACTCTACTTATTTTTTATTTTTATTAATCTACAAGAACAATAATGTTTTTGTGAAAAAAATACGAACTTAATCATCTTCCATTATTTTATATTTATTTTTTTATAACTCAAAATTAGTATATAAGGGTATTCAATTTAGTTAGTTTTTTTCAAGTTTGAGAAATGACTTTTCGTCTTTTTTTTCAAGACTAAACTGCACAAATGGTCCCTGTGGTATGTCGAAAATTGCCACTTTGGTCCAAAAAGATTTGGACTAGCACCAGTGGTCCAAAACTTTCATTTTGTTGCGTCTTTAGTCCAATCTTTTCTGATTTTTTTCAAAATGACGAATCTGCCCCTATCAATATATTTTATCTTTTTTCTTATTTTTTTTTCCTGATTTTCAGATATAAAAAAACATTAAAATAAAAATAAAAATAAACCTCTCTATCTCTCTCTAAAAACAAGAAAATAAAAATAAATCTCTCTCTCTCTCTCTCTCTCTCTCTCTTCCCCAATATTTCTCCTTCCCTCTTTGTTTGTTCTTCCCTCAAAAACACCTCGTAAAGCCTAGAAAAAAATTAAACACAGAAAAAAATTTAAGCCAAAAAAATCAAACCCATTCTTCAAGTGGGTTTTGCAAATTAAATGATGGTGAGCTGTTGCAACATTGGTAATGGGAAAATCAGGCGAGTGAAGAAGGCATTTGGGTTTGGCTTTTCTTTTGCCGACGATGCGATAAAGAGGGCTTCGATTTCTCGGAGCTCCAAAAACCAACGACCACCCATCCTTATGAACCAATACACCACCGCAGTTATCACGTCTCCGATCCCCCCCCCCCTCAGACGAGTCGCCTTCGAGTCGCATACAATGGAGCCAAAGCCGCCTGCTAAAGCAAGCCCTAGTGTCACCGCCTGTGAAAAGCACGCCCTAGCGCACATGATGCATCACCACCAACAAAAAAGCTCTTCATCACCACCACTAGAAACCTTAGTTGCGCCTCCTGTCCAAACCATAGCGTCGCCATCAAATGAGAACAATCTCCATAAAACCCTAGCCGTCATGAACATCCTAGATCTGTGTATCAGATGAAGAAGAATGCAGATGAAGAAGCATACTTCGCCAGTGAACTTGAATCAGATGCACGAGGGATTTGATTCAAATGTCGCTATGAATATCTCAAACTGGATGAGCGAAGGTGATGGTGGCAGAGTGGGGACAAGTTGAAGTTGAATCAGATGCAAGATGGATGAGAGGAACATATTTATGGTTTGAGGCCATATTCTTTTGATTTTCATACCCATATACTAAAACCAATGAAGATTAATGGTGTTAAGGTTTTAGATGTGGGAGGTAGACGACGACTTGAGAGGGAGGGGAGAGAGAGAGAGAGAGAGAGAGAGATTTATTTTTTAATCTGAAAAAATCAGGAGAGAGAGAGAGAGAGAGATTTATTTTTATTTTTATTTTTTTTAAATCTGAAAGTAAAAAAACAAATAAGAAAAAAAATCATATTAACAGGGGCAAATCCGTCATTTTGAAAAAAATCATAATAGATCGGACCAAAGACGCAACAAAATGAAAGTTTTGGACCACTGATGCTAGTCCAAAAATTTTTGGACCAAAGTGGCAATTTTCGACAAACCACAGGGACCATTTATGCAGTTTAGTCTTTTTTCAAGTATAAATTGGCCAGTCTTAAAGAATCATCATATGAGAATAAAAAATTTGCTACATTTTTTTTAGAAGTTTACAATTCTAATTACACATTCTTGAAGAACAATGTATGTTTCCTTTAGTTGTAGAACTTTGTATATAATACCTATTTTACAAGAATTCATTCACTTTATTTAATTTTGCTTGTATTCTTAAAGAATATGAAAATGAAATGTAATATGTATTCATCTTCTTTCGTGAATAACCAATAATGTAATGAAAAGTTTGTTTTTTGGTAGTTGTTAGTTTTTAGCAAAACATTCTTACAGAATATTAAATGTTATTGTATTTCATTCAAGTAATTTGAGTTTTATATACATATACAGGGTATTATTCTCTTGAAGAGGATGAAATCATACTTAAAGATGGTTCTTTTAAGCACTTCATAGGAAATAAAAATGTAGGTAGTGTTGGTTGTTTGGAGATAATTAGAGATGATGAAACGTGATGAACAATAGAGAAAAATGTAGGGTTTTTGTATTTTAGTTTTTCTTTTGACAAACAAATTCTTAAAGAATGTAGTATATATCATAATTTTTTTTATATTCTGAAAGAATGTAGTATATATCATATTTTTTTTTTATATTGTGTATTATACAAAGAATGTATTATATATTACAAACATCTTTTTAAAGAATGTAGTATAGATGGATATGTATATTCTTCAAAATGTTGTATACATTATTGTTTTATGTTATAAAAATTGTTTTTTATGTTATAAGAATGGTTATTACTGTTTTAATATATATTAATGATTATACTGCAATACATTTTTTTGAAAGAATTATATGTTACTGTATAATATATATGCCTATATTCTTTAAATTTTTTTTTTTAAAAAAAACTCATAAATTAACCTTTATTTTAAAAGAATAAACTCATATTCATCTCTTTTATTGAGAGAATTATTGGATTCTTCAATATGATTCATGTAGTATCATTTCTTGATATCCAGACAATTAAAGTTCATTTTGATAACTAAATATTGTTTTTGATTTAAGATACTTAATTCTTTCAACTTTCATATTGGGACTTAATCAAAATGTTATTTATACACTTATAAATACTATTTTTAAGTTTATTTTATTTAAAAGAAATGTTTATATGTGTTGTGTTCCATTGTAGTTATTGTACACCAATCTTAGTCAGATATAAATCTAATCTAATCTAATGGTCTAAAACTTATCATACATTCACATAATATATACCATTCACATTTAAACCTAACCCTATATATATATATATATATATATATATATATATATATATATATATATATATATATATATATATATATATATATATATATATATATATATATATGAAAAGGCTCCAAGCAAAGTACCAAGAGTTTTTTATATGAAAAGTCTTTAATCTGAATTAAATTAACTGATTTTTAAAAGGAGAAATAGAAAGATTGAGAGGATTCTAGATAAATCACACATTCAATTATTCCACATTGATAACGTGGGTAGTAGACTTGCAAAACTTGCAAATAGTTCAACAAAATAAGCATAATATTTATCAGAATCTACTACAATAAATGAAGGTTTTTTAAGTTTTACTTTTTATCATGTGTCACACTCTTATTTAATTTGTCAAATTTTATTTTATGGTTATTTTGAATTAAATTTTTTCCAAATATCATTTCATGTGTTTTCAATTTTAATAAAGGGATAATGACTTAAAGGGGTAATATATTTTCGATTTGTACACATTTGGTCACTGAGTTTATTTTTTGTTTACATTTACCCTTCAACTTGTTAAACTGTAGACATTCAGTTCTTATGACCGGTTATTTCAGGTTAACCGGTAAAAATATCTTAATAGGGTAATATATTTCTCATTTTGTACACATTTAATCCTTAATATTTTTGTACACATTTAATCCTTAATTATTTTTTGATGCAAAATAATTTTTTTTTGTTTTTATACTCATTCAATACTTATGAATGTTTTTTTTAAGTTTTTCTCACATCTTACATGGAACAATCATTAACGAGGTGTTTAGACTTTTGATACTTATGTCCACCGCGATCTCACCTGTTTGATTGCTTAGGTGATGTGTTTTGAACATCATAACTTTTTCATACTATCTCGAAGTTTAACGATATTTATATCTATGTGTTTGTATTTTAGTCTACTACAACTTTCGTTTAGATTACTCCCGTTAAAAAGTAATATATTTTTTTAATTACGATCTTTATATCCATACGTTTTTTATGAATGCATTTATGGATGTTTTTTTTATAAAATCGTAAGTAAAAACATATTATATTTTAACGAGAGTAATCTTAACGAAAGTTATAGCAGACTTAAAAAACGAACACGTAGATATAAAAATCGTTAAAATTAGATATCGTATGAAGAAGTTACGACGTTCGAAATACAAAACCTAAGCCAAACCACAAGCCTATGCAACCAAGCAGTCGAGACCGCGATGAACATAAACATCAACAACCCCAAAGACATCATCAATCAGGAACAGACGTAGGATTTGATAGTAGGTGTTGCCGGTCCGTAGTAGGTTTTGCCGGTAAGTAAAAAAAAAAGAAAAATATCGAAAAATTTACACTACGTACAGAAAAAGCAAGGGTTGTCGGTGCCACTGCGGGCACCCAAAGAGAATCGTCCATGTCATCAATGATAGTCACATGTTAGATATCGTGAGAAAAACTTTAAATAAATCATTCATAAGTACCGAATTGGTACAAAAACAAAAAATGACTTATTTTGAAATAAAAAAAATTAAGGACTAAATGTGTACAAAAATATTAATGACTAAATGCTGCGTACAAAATGAGAAATATATTAATAAGTCATTTTTCACGGATAATTTGGAGTAACCGGTCATAAAGACTGGATGTGTACAGTTTAACAAATTGAAGAGTAAATGTGGACGAAAAAAAAACTCAGTAACCAAATGTGTACAAATCAAAAAATAATTACGACAAATATAGTAATAAATGAATATCAATTTCATTAATAGACTTACATTTTTATTTCAAAATTTTCAAATTAAAGTTCATTATTTTATTTTATTTATTTATTTAAATTTAAAAGATAAAAAATCAATTTTAATATTTCACTATTTTTTTTTAATTTTTTCTAATCCAATGCTTTCAAATATTTAAACTTTTATATTTATATTTTTTTAATTAACACATGTAATACATGAATCTTATACCTATTTTAAGATAATAAAATAAGATTTTTCCGACAATAGAAATGATTTCATATCCAAAATGGGATATTTTGGACCCGTGATCCGATGAAAATCTATTTATATTTTTGTGGTTTGCCTTTTTTTTTTTAGAAAAAAAAAATAATAATAATCTTTTTAGCAGATTTTATTAAATTAACAAAATATTAGTAAAAACAGATATTATAATGAATCAGTTAGTAAAGACGAATTTTGTAACCAACCATGCTAGTAAAGACGAGTTTTGTAATAACCAAGCTAATGAACTATAAATTGAGGATTCCCGTTTTAACAACCAAAAGTACAGTGCATAATAGTGTTGCTGAAGATGGCACCACTCCATTTTGTTGATCCAAAAATTGTGATATTCATGAATAATCAAATCATCCAATAAGCGCTAAAGATAACCTCATCAAAATATCTTCTATATTTTCGGACTATCACATATGCATTTATCAAATCCAAGTATCCAATTTCAATTCCAACATATCTCAAAGGTATTCCAAAAAAAAGTTACTTGGGTGCGTTTAGTTGCAGAAAAATAAGTTATTTTCCGAAAAATTTTCTAAAATAAATGAGAATTTTGAAAACGCGTTTAGTTCGTTTATTTTTCTAAATTTTTTACGGAAAATTAATTTTTTTCATTTTCTAAAATTATAAAGAAGTTAGAAAATTTTGAAAAACTGATAAACATTATTTTTCATATTTTTTTAATTCCAAAATTTTTCTAAAATATAAACCTTCAGCCCAGCCCAATATATGGGTGGGATGGGCTAAGGCCTGACAGCACAAAATGGAGGACATCATCTTAGCCCAATAATATGTATATATGTTTTGGCCCAAAAAAACTAATAGCCTTGATACTCTTTTCCAGCGTGCGAGCTGGGGCGGGAAAACGCAAAATAATTGGTGGGGCGAAAGCTGTAATCAGCATGTGTCATTGGTTGATTGCCAATCGACACCTAGAAATCTGGAAGCGGTAGAAGATGTAGGGGCATCATCATCAAATTGAAATCAATGAATGCTGGTTTTAAATCTAGTTTATGTTTTCTTTTCTTCTCTCCAATTTCTAAATATCTTTAGGGCTTTGTAAGGATCTGGCGATTCGAGTTTATCTTTTACGATTATTTTTTTGATTTTCTGATTCATTGATTCTCGTATGAGGTATACCTTTTTTGTTTGGTGATTCATTTCTCCTATTCTTGTTATTTAATCACTATTCTCATCTGATTATTCTCGTTTCCTGATCTGTATGATTAGTACACTTGAAGTTCAAAGTTGGACTGCTTGAGACAAGGATGTCGAAGCCTTTGGTTCAAAATTCCGTATTTAAAAGAGTTGTAGAATGGAGTTTGAGGCCTTCTTACCTGGTAATTCTTAAATCCTATGATTCCGTTTTTAGGTATATCATGTAACAATCAATTGAGCTTACTAATTTTTGTTTTATGTTGTGATCCAGGAGGCTATATGTATACCGAATAATAATCAACTGAAATTCTAATTATTCTGTTTTTTTTTTATTTTTTTTTTAATTAGAAGACATAAGTAGGTATATAATTTTCCATTGTTGTTATTTCACAGTATTTAAAAAAAAAGATTTATATTTATGATTTCATTATTCATTTTTCAGGTCAGTTAACATGTTCAAACTAAAAACATAAACATAAACTTTGGTTCTTTTGTTTCGGTCTTTCACTTTTCTGTTTTCAAATGACTTGTTTTTATTGCCCTTTGTCTTCAGTTCTTGAAAACGAATTTGGAGTTGGGTTTTTTCCCCTTTGGCTTTGATTCTTGACAGCCGAATTTGCCAAGCAGATGAAGAATTTTCGCATTTGCCATTTGTCTTGAAGACTTGGTAAGACATAACTCATAAGTGGTTTATTATTTTTAATGTAGTAAACAAGTAATTTAATTATTGTTTATTCATTTTTATGATTTTTTTTGTTATGTTAATTTTAACTAAGTAATGACTAGTTGATTCTAATACCATTTTGCTCACAAAAACAGGCTTGTTCATTTGTTTTGGAAGTGGTAAAGGGGTGATTTTTAAATTGTTGATTCGTAAAGGGCTCTTAAGGCTGTGGTTCTAAGTTTTATGTAGTTTATTAAGGTAATTTAGTTTAACGGTTAAATTCTTTTAGTTTGGTAAATTAGGAAAAATTTGTATACTTTGTTTATCCAGTTTTACATTTGTGTGACTTTTATTTTTAGTCATTTTTCTTGAAAATGTTAATTGTGATATGATAGTTGCTTTTGCTTGAAGAACAACTACAAATGCAGTTTCTAATTATTATTTTTCAACTTTTAGTTTGTATGATCCTCAAAAGGTAACTGATTGCTCTTAATTGTTTGATGGTTGCATTTTGATTCAACCATTAGGCATTAGTTTGCATGGAGATGAGTTTTTAAATAAAAAATGTATGGGTATGAGTTTCCAAATAAAAATTTTATTCAGTTATATTTTATAAGTTTATGGTTTGTAGTTTCGGTTTAGATATAGGGGCATTGTTAAGGCTTTTTCTCAGTGTAACAAAAACCTATGAAATGGCCCTATCCACCTCTATATACTCCCAACCCACCATACCCCTACTTACCCACACTCACCCACTCCCAAGCCCATCCCCATCCGTCCCCACCCTTACCTTACCACCGGTACCGTTTTCTAAAAATAAAAACTGATAGAAAAATACACATATAAACACATTTTCTAATTTTCTAAAACTGAAAATGAAAAATAAATAAATTTTAATTAAACGCGTTTTCTAAATTTTTTAATGAAAAATGATAACGAAAACTGAAAAGAAAAAACAAAAAACAGAAAATTAAAAATATTTTTCCGTAACTAAAAGCAATTTAGAGTTTCTAAAAATTTGCCTTCCATGTGTCCAATTTGAAAATTACGAAGTCTTTAGGTTGTCAAAGGTCGAGAACCCATAATCATTATGGACTCAGCAACCATCATAGCCCATTGTGAAAACAACGATATTGCCACAGTCAACAGTTGTTAACAACACTTGCGATGTTGTATGTGTGCACAATTTCAGAAAAAATCTATTATTTAAATAATATATAAATAATACAAAATTTTGTATTAGTTCACACTTATCGTATAATTTCACAAATTACATCTTCACTTTATATATAAACTTAAAATTAATTTTTCCATTACTTTTTCTTTTTTGTAAACAAGTGGGCTTAATATAAGATTTGGGCTAGACAACTCGTGGGTTACTATGGAGCTTTAAATTATATTTTTGTTTAAATTTAAATCCTGTGCGATCGTATCCCATTTAATAGTAAAACTTGAGAATTTTGATAAAGTAGATAGAAAAGGGGGAATAATTTTGACTGCAAATTAAACTTATACAAAGTAAAGTAATAGACTAAAATACAATAAAACGATCACGCGACTTTAAATTCATTCCATTTTGTCTTATCACGTCATTGATAAGCATGATGTAAAGGATGTCGCATAATTGATTTAGATTGCTACTACAACGCTTTAAAGTATTTAACTTGAATAAACGTTTTTCTTAAACCTAATTTGTTAATCAAGTTTTAATAAGCTCTCAAACTCAACTAAATATTGTATTGAACAAAAGATTCCAAATTATAAGGAAGGAATATTGGTGATTTTAATATTATCAACATATTTTAGTATGGTTAATATTACTATTGAGACATGCTGAGTTCAATTTACTCACCAAGACTGGAAATGCAGGATGCACATTCGGAGTGATAAATGCAAAGTCCGGAATAAAGGGTCTAGAAGAGCGCCCTTAATTATGTTGTGCGGATGTAATAACGGTTTTCCCTTCATAACTAACTTTAACCGCTATCCTCCATGTATAAAAGAAGGACATGCTTTCATATAACCGAAAACTAGTATGTCTCTCTAAAATGTAAAACAACATGTACATTATGTGTTTCGTAGTTTAAAGAAGTTTGAAATCCAAATCGATTGTTCTTGGATTATCTCAATTCAGATTTGGTGATAGCCCAAAGAATAGGATCAAAATCACATATTTTATAAAGTGTATATCTAAAACACGGTCCTTGAATTATCCAAGTTAATTATTGATATTCTTAAAACCCAAAATCTAAAATTTAATCAGTGTTCTAAAAGACGGGCTATAGGGAGCGTCAAGGCGTGCCATCGCGTAAAGCACGATTCCGCCGTTACGAGAAGTCTCATGACATTGCTGCCAGGCGTAACGCATGACAAGGCGTGATATGGCGTCAGTTTTTGGTTTGAGACACATTTTTTTTCACTCTTTGTTATGACTTTTGGACATACAATTTTTTGTTAAGTGTTTGTTATTAATTGTTCTTATAATACTTCTAAAAACTTATTATATTTGGTATAAATCTATATTTATGTGGTAATATAATTATAAATTAATAAAATATCATCGTCTTACATCACACAGTGAAAAACATCCATAACTCATAAAACTTGAGACTTCATCTTGTCGCCAAGCAGTTTAGAACCTTGCATGTAATCCTTACAAAAAGTATATAGTGTACGTTTATAAAGGCAAACAATTTACAAGACCAAAAGTTTTAGAAAATGAAATAACAACTCAAAATTACAGGTTAAATCAAGTGGCAAACTCGAACAATACACTAGACAAGAACAAAACAAACCATAAAAAAACCTCGATATCATGATATTAATACTTAAGAACTCCAACCTTTTGTACTTTGAACAATTACATAAGCAATATTTGCCAACAACATACATATTTACACCCATAAACAACCCGAGAAAACCCTTCTTACAAACATTTAATTAAAAAAAAAAAGAACATAATAAACACCTCAGAAACTTAGCCTACCCCCGGAAAAGAGATAGTGTGTGTTTTTCTCACATATAAAAATGAAATGAATCGAAAATCCCCAGAAATTAGAACAATAATCCTTTTTTCTTTACCATAATTGTGTGTTTAGTGTTTACTTTTCCCTAATCGATCCGTCTCTGAATAACTTCAAGCTAAGATTATTGTATCGCTCGCGTGAATACTGTCTTGAAGCTTTCCTCCAATCCGTTCCTGCCTTCATCATCGCTGTAAACTCCTCAAAACTTATTCTTCCATCCTGCAAACCATTAAGACAACGTTTAAGTAGGTGTTTTTTTTTTGTTACTTACAGCCTGTTTGATATGCCTCTTACTGGGTCTGGTAACAGACAGGGATCTGACTCGGTCAGATACAGACTGTTTGATACCACAATTAAAAAAAAACGACTTAATACAGAGTGAATTGGACAAACCTTGTCTGTGTCTACATCGTGAAGAATGGCAGCAACGACTTCTTCATTGTTGGTTTCAAGCTCATCAGATAAGGCTTCCCGAAGCTCATCGATCTCTATGTATCCGCTTTTATTTTGATCAAAGAATGCAAAAGCATCTTTAAGATGATCATCGTTCCCCATTTTTCTTAAATGAACAGAAATAGCAACGAATTCTCCATAGTTCAAAAATCCATCTTTGTCAACATCTCCCTGCATTAATATCTTACATTAATCCCTATATTTATTCAACTTATTGTTATATTTAGTAAAATGTAATACTTACAGCATCCATAAGTATCTGAAGATCTGCATCAGGAATCTGTTGGCCAAGCTTTTGTAATCCTGCTTTTAACTCAGCAATGTTTATCTTCCCTTGCTTACTTGTATCCATTAAATCAAATCCTTGCTTAATTCCCGCCACTTCCTCAGCAGATAAATGCTCAGCAATTACCTATAATTTAGAGGAGAATTCAGTATAAAGACACCCGAAAAAAGAACAAAAAAAAGCCACAAGATAACGAACTATTACATACCCTTAAAGCTCTCTTCTTGAGTTTGTTCATTACAGAGAATTGCTTGAGTCTTGCTTTAACAGTTTCACCTAAGTTAACATTTGGAGCCTTTTTAGCGTTTTGTATCCATGTATGATCTGAAATAAGTTGAGAAGACAGAAAGGTTGGTTAATTACAAAAAATACCATATAAGCCTTTATACAACACATGCAAAAAAGAAAAAGTTGACATTACCAAGAACTTCTTGAGCAGTAAGACGCAATTTAGGGTCAGGATTTAGCATCTTTTTGACAAGATCTTTAGCTGCATCAGATACCTTTGGCCATGGATCCCTTTTAAAATCTACAACTGATCGAATAATTGCTTGTGCAACTCCTTGCTCAGTTTCTGTAATCAAAACAAATCCTACTTTAAAATTTGTAACATTGTATTTGTAACAACTTACATGAATTATGCAATTACGTTTCATTTGGTTAAACATGTTGTTTCTAGTAAGATATTACATCTTTTGGTCCTAAAACGAAACTTTGTAGCATGTTTTGTATAAAAAACAACTTTTTTTTTGTAAGGGCATGTTTAATATTTAATTTGATTAACAAAACTAACCTGCCCAAAATGGAGGGACTCCACAAAGCAATATGTACAAGATTACCCCTGCACTCCATACGTCAACTTCTGGGCCATAGTTTCTTTTAAGGACCTCAGGAGCCATGTAGTATGGGCTGCCTACGATTTCGTTAAACCTCTCGCCTGCAATAAGTTAAAAGACTTTTAGGATGTGTATACATAAAAAAAATTGTCATATGAATAATGTCGTTATATGTGTTTATTATTATTATTATTATTGTTACCTGGTTTGAAGAAAACGGATAACCCAAAATCAATAGCTTTTAAAGCTGCTGTTTCTTTCTTGTTTGCAAACAAAAAGTTTTCGGGTTTAAGATCACGATGCATAACACCATGCTTGTGGCACATCTGAAATAATATAGAAGAAGACGAATCAGTAACAAGAACATCTTTCTGTTTCGGGAAATCAAGGAAAAGATTAATTTTCACCTGAATGACTTCGACGATGGTGCGGGTGACGCCGGCGGCGGCTCTCTCGGTGTAGTGGCCTCTGGCAACAATCCGATCGAATAATTCTCCTCCCTCGCACAACTCCATGACCAAATGAACAGCACTATCATCTTCGTATGTGTCCTTCAAGGTGACGATATTAGGGTGAGTAGGCATATGCTTCATGATCTCAACTTCTCTCCTAACATCCTCGATATCAACCCTAGTCCTCAACTTCTTTTTGGATATCGATTTACAAGCAAAAATTTCACCAGTTGACTTATCTGTACACATATAAGTAATGCCAAATTCTCCTCTGCCCAATTCCTTACCAAGAACATAAGTTTCCTCAATCTCATGTCCAGTTGGGTTTTCTAACACGTACGATTTGTATCCATTCCCAGTCGGAATCGAGCCACCATAGTCTAAAGAAAATGGGTTCGGTTTGTTCTTCCCCTTTTTCTTCTCGAACTCAGTATCGGAGGTAGAGGGTACAGCACAGCAATTACCCATCTAATCGAACTTAAGCGTGTTCCAATATCTGATTAATAAGCAAATTATCCAAACGGGTATCAGAAATTAGAACAAATTGCTGGTGAAGAACGGAAATAAAAGGGATGAAGTGGCTCTAAAGGGCCTACCTTGACTCAATCGGATCGTGTAACTCTTCTTTGATCAGCAACCTGAGATTGTGTGTTCTACGAAAAGAAATTTGTCGAAAACTTTCGGAAAAAAAGAAAGAGGATTGTTAGATGATTAGAGTGGCGAAAGGAAAGGGAACAATAAAGGAAAGGGTCTGGAGGGCGGTTGAAGAAGACGATGAAAGTAGGAATTTTTCAAGGTATGAACAGCTCAGCCATTATTGATAATGAGATTGGGGGGGTCAATGCTCAATGCTGCTTCGTGGACTGTTCCCATGCCAACTTTTTCTATTTGCTACTTTGAGTGAATTACACTTTTCTTTTCAAGATTTTGTTTTGAGCATAATTAGTCTTTAAAAAACAATTATTTTCATTACAGTCCTACTTTTTACATTGCGAATTTCGCTATTATCACCATCATATGTTATTGTGTCGATTGAGGCTCAATGGGTAACAGAGCATATATTAATAAGTTTGGGTTAACTCATTTGGTTAACAATATGTTTAATATTGTGATTTATCTTTTTCATATTACAAATTGATAGATATTTACAATGATATTTATCATATTATAGGGACAATTAGTAGCGGATCCAAAATAAATGAGAACTATCATATTGTTAAAAATATCAAAAAAACTAAAATTATGTACGCAATACTGTTTGCAAAATCACAAAGGAGCATTTTTGAAGCCTTTGTTTATTGTAATAGCATCATATAGAGGCATTTAATTTGGCTTTTCATATATGTAAACCTTGATTAAGATCGGATGAGTCATATAGGTGGATTCTTTTTAAAATGTAATTGCTCATCTGTAGGGTTTTTTTCACTAAAAAATGGATGATCGTCTGTTATGTTTGGTTTTAGGACAAATTTAGACAAAGAACAAAAGTTCTAATTTTTGAAATGAGGTCAACCAAAAACAAGTAGGACCAGCTATAAAAACATCTAAAATAAAAGATTTTTTATGTAAAGTATATAAGGTGGAACCTACAATCAAGTTGGGTTCATGCACCCTACTTCTAACCCTCTACATCCACCACTCGCCACTAGGGACAACTAGAGCTGCATAAAAGTCCGTCCTAGCGCGTGGGACTAAAGCCTAATCCAGTCAAAGCTTGGTTAACATAAGCTTAGGGAAAGGTTGGCTCGACCCTCATATGCCCCTTAAAATAAGCTTGTTAAGGCATGTAGGCTTTGCTTAGGCGCTCTCTTGGCCTAAAAACCTGACTTGGTTCGAGAATTTTTTTTTGTTAGATTATGTGTCATTGTAGATAGGTTACTTATATAGCATTCTACTTCATTTCTATGATGCACATATAGTTGAATCCGAAAGAAATCAAAGTAAGATGCTATAATGCACAAATATATAAAAGTATATTGTTGTTTAAAGCATCCTACTTTTAGTTATATATACTAAATAATTGCAATAACAATAATATAATGGTGTCATGGGGAATTAAATTTTGTCATTTACAATATATCACAAATGTAAATATATCACAAATGAGAACGATCGGTATATGTTATGTCAAACTACCTATAACAATTTGTATTAACCTTCTTTAATCACAAGACATTTATGTTAAGACTTATATTGATTACCGGTTGTTTTGATTTGAACTTGTATTTGTTCATAATAGAAAAGGGTTGATTCGTAAATTACTGTAAAACATACATTGTGTTGTACGGTAAAAAAGACTGTTGTGTACGAATACTAGAAATAAAAATAACCTAATAAAAACATTTATTTATAACTTTAAAGATTATTAAAGAATAGTGCTAACAATATTATTCCATAGTCCATATATGGATTATCTGTTTTACTTCCTTTCTACATTATTTTGGCACACGATCATCTTGGAGTTGGATCCAACATGCCAATTATGCTTAACGTTAATCGGTATGTATCACATTAGATACCTTAAAATATTAAATGGTACTGCATGGTGGTAATTGAGATGCATGATGGGTATTGTGTGAGGACCCATTGAGTGGACCTATGATATCATCATAAATAATATAACATGGTATTTTCAATGAATGTTCACATGTGTTACAAAAAATACTTTTTGCAGCATAAAAATGTAATAATTACTTTTATATTGCTTAACAAAATTGATTATGATCATAGTTGCAATATTGTAATTTTTAGGGTAAAAAATCAAATTGAAAAGGGTAACAGAAAGTTGCAAAATGCAATTAAGGATAAATGAAAAAAAAAAAATCTTAACCTATTCTTGATTATATTCAAATGATTATCGTAATATCCAATTTTGATTATAGAAACTGCAATAGTTCCTTATGTACACTTTTATATAAACAAAGAATCTTGATGTATCCAAGTTATACATATTCTTATTTAGAGGACTAGAATCAAGTTGGTGTTTACATTTGGAGGTTCTAGATGTCATTAATGAAACCTATGTGCCATTTCTAGCTTGTAGTTGATTTATGATGCCATGTGTTAACATTTATATTGAATTGACAGAATGTAATGTTGTGTAAATGTGCCATCTTTTGTAAACAAGTGACACATTGAATAATTTAAGTTTTTGGCACCCAAAAAAGTCCAAGAGTGAGGACTTTATATTCTACGAATCGTTTATATGATTCCAAACCATACTAGCATCTTAATACTATTTTTAAACTGTTTAATCGAACGTAATGTAAAACATGGGGTTTTAATAATTTATATGCATGGTATTATATTATAGAAGAGAATAGCAACTACTCGATCATAACTTTAAAAGATAATTATATTTTATTCCGTTAAATATAATATATCTCTGTTTTTAAAAGCTCAAGACCCCAAACATTATGCTTAGACTTATTATATTTGTTGCTAAAATAAGAGTATAGTATTAATCACATTGGGAATTTAATTGATGATAATATTCTTTTAATTAAAAATAACAATAAGGACAATTATTTTGATGTTGAATATATCTGTTTATTAGATTGTCAATTACCATTACTTATTTTGTTACTTCCCAGAGGACGCGTCACTCACTTGTTCCATACTCGAAACACCTTTTTTTTTTTTTTTTTGTATGATTTGCATGTAAAAGTAAGGGTTTGTTTGATATTAGTTAATTAATTCAGATCTGATTATAATCGATGTTTGATTGGGTTAGACATAATTTTGAATTTGATCGAGTAAGATGTATGTCATCCGAGTTGATATGATTAAAATACTTATAAATATAGTATTATTGTCTGAATTTGATCAAGTCCAATCTAAATATCTAATTTTTTACTAGACCCAACGAAAAGTATAACAAACAACTCCTGAAACAATAGCATATTATGAACTATGGTTTAGATACTAAAAATACACAAATTATATGGGTATTTATGTGAGAAATGACAAAAATATATTTTTATTATGAAGAAAATTAACTACTTTAATTCAACATAAACAAGTCATTAAGATATGCAATAGACTATGGCGGCATACCCGACTACTTATAAAGCCTTAAACATGTTTTTTTTTTTTTTTTTTTTTTTTTTTTTTTTTTTTTTTGTTGTTGTTGTTGGCTAGAAGTACTTCTATTTTCTATACATGCATAAATTACATTTGTTACTTCTAACTTTGTCATTTGATGGTCAATAAGTTCTTATGGTTAATAAGTTAATTGATGGAACATCATAAATAATTAATGGTATAAAATATGTATTAAGCATTGATATCCATTATAAATAAAATTCACGTATAAAATATGATTATAGAAACTATGTATGAAAAAAATTCTAATTTATGTATAATTCAGTTTGGAAGGTTATTTATGTTTAAATGTATTTTGAGTTGCTTTCGAGCAATGTTTTTAAAATCAGATTATTAGTTGAATTGGTCGAATAATCAGTTTTTGGTTCAACTGTCAGTTCAACTAATTCAATCGTAGGTCTGCATTTGTGAGTGATGTGTGTCAGCCTTCAAATTGTGTACACTTCGGATAATCTGATTGATCAAGCTATTCAATTTTCTATTAGTTAAGTGAAATTCAACTATTCAAGTCCAACAAACCGGTTCAAATAGTTTTTTATCGGTTCTATCACACCGGTTTAACCCGGGTTTGGAAGAAACCATCCGGTTCAATCCGGCCTAGAATTTATCATAAAGTTGGTTGTTTGTAAACCGCTCTCATCCCCGATTCCTGATCCGACCATTTCAACCAATCAATTCGAACCAATTTTTAAAACATTGCTTTCGAGTTTCAACTTGTTGTGGTTTCAACTAAAATGATAACATTCCTTGATTTGACTTATTAAAGATAAATTGTAATTAAATTTGACATTTTTAGATTACATAAAATTAGGATGTTATAGTTTCATTAAAATAAAATTTTATATTGTTGTTGTAGAAAAACAAACAAACAAGTTGTGATGTTATTTTTTTCTAGATGACAAAACTAATTACTAATATTACTAGTGGATAACTGTTTTCCCATTTCAGCCATTCGATCTTCTTGAGATGAAATCCTGACCGTAGTAACTCTCTGTTTACAAGTTTTTGGCGGTTCCTTCTTTCTCCCCCATGTCCGTCTTCTTCGTCTTCAGATGCCCACGTCTCCCAAACTCGCATGGTTGCATACTGTAACATCCTGAGATTTGACAAGTATTCTCGAACCCTATTCTATCATTACCTTGTCATTTATAGTCCTCGGGGTTGGAAGTGAAGAGCCAAGATAAGTTTAAGGGCCAAGTTTGCAAACTTGGGCCAAGAGGGAGTACGATACGCGTACATAAGCGTACGTTGGGCGTACTAATGTCAGGGTGAAACTCTAATATTTAGGGTTTGGGGCCTATATAAGTAACATTATGAGCATCAAAACCTCCCTTACTTCAGCCTCCACATATTATAGTCGTCTTCCCCAAACCCTAGCCTTTCCTTTGTGAGTTTAACCTTATTGAGTGTGTTCTTGAGTGCTTTAAGAGGAAGGTTTTGCATCAAGGTGTTGGAGAAGAAGATCAAGCTTGTAGATATGAAGTTACTTTGTACCCAAGAAGCTCCAGAAGGTATAAAGTTCCAAACTTTGTGCATATATGTATAGATCTCACCATTTTACTTTAATAGAACCATTTCTTGTCCGAAAATCCATAAGGTGGTGCATGTTGTGATTTGGACGAAAAGGATTGTCCCTCTAGACTCTTGAAGGGACCTGGAGTGATAAAAATGAGGTCCCATTAGTTGTATGTGTCCCATGCATGGAAAAATAAGGTCTTAATGGATTAAGACCAAACATTAAGAACTTTATGGACGTCCAAAGTGATAAAGTTCATGACTATATGGATCCTAGGCATGTGAGGTCTCTGGATCTGAAGTTTGGGCTTAAGTGCTTAGGCCATTAAGCACTTAATAAGGGTTTGGGAAACTATCGAGTACACCTAGTGTACTGAGTCAACCATCCCGATGGTGGTCAACATCTGTACAAGTACGCCCCGCGTACCAGAGGAGTACGCCCAACGTACGTCCTCTATTGGGCTTTTGACAAATGGGCTTCGGATTTTGGGCTGTTTATGGACTAAATGGAATTGGGCCTTTGCTGGACTTTGTAAATAAGATATTTTCGGCCTGGTAGTGATAGTGGATCATGAGGTTAGGCCCAATTAGTATTTTAGGCCCAATTTAATAAATTGGGCCAATAATGGGCTTTATATATGGACTTTTAAGTCAAGGACTGGGTAATTGAGCCTTGGCCCAATAAAGAGAATGGACTTAATGAATGGTGTGAACATTTAGTCATGAAGGTTATTTTGGGTATTAACTTAATATTATTGTGTAATAGTTTGGGATTCCCGGTGAGACAACAGTCAAAGATTAACAATACTTCAACACTACTTGCGAGGTGAGTTATCCTCACTATATCAACATGGTCTAAGGCACCAAGGCCGGCCCTTTATGGATTGTATCTAATTATGGCATGGTATATTTATTGGTTTGCATCCTGGTAGTTAGGATGAGGTTATGTTTATGCTTAATGGCATGGTTAGGTTGGTATCCTAGTTATAGGATGTTGTTATGTTATATGATATGTTAGATCGGTTTGATTGTTATATATGTATGCTAGCATATGATAGTTATGTGCACAAGTTTGTTTTGATTTGGGATGGGTTGAGGCGGTCCTGCTTTGTGTTGAAGGCCAACATACCCAGGGCGGACCGGATAGACTACTAACCCGAAAAGGTATGATAGTTAGACCGAAGGCTCGGCGAGCGGTCCGAATAGGCTGAAGGTCTTGCGAGGTGGTCCAGACGTGCCGAAGGCTCGAAGAACAGTCCAGATACACTGAAGGTCTGTGAGGCGGTCCAGTAAGGCTAAAGGCTCATTTTGCATGTTGTTCTATATTTGTTGATATGATATAATTATGGTTATATGAGGTTGGTATTTTGGGGGTATCTCACTAAGCCATCGAGCTTACATCTATTGATTATTGTTTCAAGTACTTCTGGTGATCGCGGGAAGGCGAATGCATGATCGTATAGCTCCCCTTGCTGTTATGATTTTATGATTTGATATTGGGATACTCTGATATTTATTATTTTGAAAACAAACTTTGTAATGTTAAATGGTTTTAAGTGTTTTGAAAAGTTTAAATTTGGCATGATTTTTATGGGTGTTACACATACAGTTCAGGGTGGAGACTGTATTCAAATATTATTTCTTCAATCATTTTCATCAATTATGGAACACAAATCGACCACCAAGGAGGCACCATAATTGGTTATGCCGACGACATGTGTGGTAAGTGTTTAGCCAATTGCATGCTAGCTAAACCCATAACCGCACACCTACCGAAAATGGGTTTCAGGTTGCAACTTCTCATCAATCCCTCGGTTCCACTTCTTATGTAAACCGATTCACGTAAGTTTAGACCACTTTTTTCAAAACCCTAATGAAAATCTGAGTTTTAACTATTGCATTATGGGTTTTTGTGCTTAGATAATGAAAAGTTTCAATAAGGAGCGAGATGAGGAATAAGATCAGAGAGTATGATTCCAACAAGGCTGGTTGAGTATTTTTGTTTTTCTTCACATTGATCACAATTCAATCAGCATCATCCTTACCCACGAAACCATTCTCTCTAGCAAACTAACCTGAACCACGGAGTGCAAGAAAATTCAAATGGGAGATGCACTCCTTTACAAAAAGGTAACATCCAAAGCACGCTTCAATCTAACCTATTAGATCAATTATCATGCAAAATCACAAGGAAAATATTCACCCAGCATTGTTTCTGAAGGTGAGGCCACTAAATTGAAGAAAACAGAGTTGATTTCTAACAAAAGTAATACGTGAGATTTACAAATTTTATGAAATAGGTCAGATAAGTGAGCCCTTTCACTTAATATAACTTGTGTAAATCAACTCAAACTAGATAGGACATACATCATGGATCAAAGGGTTATGATATTCTATTTTGGAAAATCTTGTGGAGTTGAGATTATATATGTATATGTATTAGAATTGGTTTGAACTTTTGCATTATACTCGGTCATTGTGGAGTTTTAGACTAAATATTGGGCATGATTATCAAGTTGTAATGTTTATGGAAAATTATTTGAACCAGGTTAGTGACCTCTTCAGTTTTATTAAAACATTATTTATTTTTCATCTCAATTGTTTATGCTAAAAAAAACTTCAGGTGAAGTAAACGGGTTTGCAGATGGTTGCCTGATGCCTACTGATGATTGTGTTGAATGGTGGAAATTTATTTTGGTGATGTAGGGAAAATAATTCAACATGGTGGGCTTATAATGGCGAGTTTCTATGCAATATAGCTTCATATTGTTCTAATGAATTGTATAGTGGTAGGTTTAAATCATAGAAATTAGTAATTTTCAAGTATTTAAAGATAAAATAATGCAGAGTTCTTCCTTTTGTGTCCCATAGGATTAATATAGAGCATATTGGCCGGTTCTATGTTGAGTTTGGCCATGAACTACAACAATATAATGACCAACAAGATAAAGATGGTAACTGCAAAACTTTGGAAAAATCAAAGCCTTCAGATCTCCTGGGTGTTTGTGCTTACTTCGAATCTGTTTTTGGTTCTTGCACAACTTAATGACATGCAAAACACCAGGGTGAATTTCATTTTCTTTTTTTATTATAAATTTGATAATATATCTAGAATATGTTTTGGGGTTATGAGGTTTTTGAGCTATGCACAATGGATTCTTCCGGTACATTCTTGATTTATATTATTTTTACATAATACTTACATATAGAAATTGTTAAAAAAAACGTTATTGTTTTTTCAGGTTTTGGATACAGAGGGACTCTTGACCATTGTAGGTTATGAATTTGTTCAAACCTATGTGCTTACTGATTTCAACTACTATTATTATGTATGTAGGTTTGATTAAGATTTCTTTCTATTTCCTTAACTCTATATTTTAGTTTTTTTCTTATTTGACCTTACATTATTACCATTTGATGTAAATGCTTCCATATGAAATTGATATCTTCTATTTTATAATTACAGGGCATATGATCGGGTTGTACCTGTAATAAATTTTGCGAATTAATGTTAATATTAATTTCAACATAAGTGATTATGAGGAAGATCTGAAATAGATAAAGAACTTAACAAAGGAAATTTTGTTCAGATTCTGAGGCATCAGAGCACTGTCTTCTCTAGAAGCTCAAAAAGTAATGAGGAGTTCTCCTACAAACTGTGATCGAATTGGCCAATTTCATGGAAAAGGTACATCTATCTTTGATTGTTTGACCATGAAATTGAATGTTAAGGCCATATAAATATTTGATGCAAAGAAACTTTGGACCTATTAATCTACATTAATTAGAGCATACCCATGGCTATGAAATGTAGGATGTATGGGTTGGTTTGTATCATTAGTCACATTCGTAATTACTTCCTATGATAGGAATAGGATAATGATAATAATGACTTATGCCTTAAATTTTAAAAATTGATAAATTATACCTCAAAAACGTGAAATGGTAAACTACTTTTATCTTAGAATTTTAAAAATCTAGGATTAATACCTGAAGAACATGAAAACGCTTAGGAACCTTTGAATAGAAAAACATGCCCTGAAAATTTGGATCCTGATTTGGTATCGTAAAACTAGAAAAGAAATACAATCAACATTTGGTACATGAGTTTTGATTGTTGGTAGATGTAATCAAAATGTTTGTAACTTGTGTGAGCCAAAAAGCAGGGTTTGGATGTATGTACATTCATTTGCAACAACATTACTCAATTTTTTTGGCAGCATTTTTAGTAGTATCATGACATCCCTTCTTGATTACTATCATGGCTTGTGTTATCAATAACTATAAAATCAAGGATTAGGAGTATCTTTTACTTGTGATATCTAGATAAAGGACTTTTTTTTTCTTAAAAGCTCTTGTAATTTAATAAGATTTTTGTTCCAGGCAATTACTTGGTTTTTCTCGCAATAGGTAGGTCATCACCAATGATTGTAGCATGACATTGTGATGGTAAAGGATATAAATAATTATGGAGGGATAGGAATATATTGTCATCATTTTTTCATCTGTTTATGTTATTTCAGGGAACTAGAATCCAAACATAGTGAAGAATGCAATCCTAAGCTTTCCTTGTAATTAAC